CCTGGTTTTACCTTAAGCATGTTTTGTCTGTTCATGTTTAAAGGCATAAATGCTCATCAAATTCTATTTTGCAACTGAGACATTTCATTCAATTTAAAAATTCCAACAAATCTTGTTTTGCTTTTACAATGGACATTTGAATCACATCCTTGCTGTCAAGATGAATCATAACAGCATGAGCTTTAGTTCTTTATTGTGCTTAACTGCAGACATGTTTTGATTGATGCTTAAGGAGTTTGCTACCATAATGTTTCTTGTTTGTTTGCTGTTTAGGATCATACATATCTGCCACAACAAGCTTTTTGAATTGGCCAAATCAAACCTGAATTTGTTGTACACATCCACATTCCCACTAAAGCACATATGTTTGCATCTCACATCACTCACCAAGCATACTGTCACCCTGTTAGAACAAATGGTGCATCACAAATTATGTTTTGAAGCTGCTGTTGCTTTTAACACTTTTGCACATGTTCACTTGTTCTTTGAAATCACACTGTACACACATTCAATACTATGTGATGATTGAGTATAGAAGTTTAAGTTGGCATTTGGATTGGCTATTTGAAGTTGTTAAGATCTTGCTGTTCTGAGGTTTTAATTTGTTAATACTGCTGCTGTTGTTATCTTGCATCATTATTTGAATTTCGTTTAGATCTAAGAGAAGAACCATTGAGTACGTTATTTTCATGATTGGCCTTGGAATTAAATGTACTATTGCTGTTTGCTGAGCATAGGGGTATCAGTGCATAAAACTTGTATTTGTGGCAGAGATTTTTTTTGTTGCTTAAATTATGCCCTGAGCCAGAACCACAACCAGGTTTTTGCTAACTGTTTGGCATATAGGTTAACAAGATCTTTAGAGCAAGTTGATAGCAGGGCTGCTATTCTATTGTTGTTTTGTTTGCTGTGCATGAGATTATCATTTGGTTTTGTTGAAGTTGTCGTTTCTGCTGTACATGTGCTTTACTTTGTGTTTGGCTTGAAGTTATAAGTCCTGTTTGAATTACTGTTGGGAATTCTGTCAAGATTCAGTGGTTGCTTGCTTGTTAGTATATGTTGAAATCATGATTTGGTTGCAATTTAAGTTGTGTACAAGGTGCTGTCATAAAGCTTAGATCCTGGCTTTAGTTTGGATGTGAGGCTTGTTGTAGTTTGCTTCCATGATATGCAATTTGGTGATCATTACTTGTTTTATTGAAAAGTTGGTTGTGTTCATTGAATTTAATCCATGAATATTGAATTTCAAACATGGTTGGATCTTTGTTTGCTCACATTTACATCAGTCCTAGCCTATGGTTTCCTTTATGCATTTCAAGAGCTTATCATGCATTTTTATTCGTGTTTTACTTTACAAGCATGATTTGAAGAATTGAATAGCATCATCGTGTTCCTCCTTAAAAAACATGCGAAATAGGTTCAAAGTTTGCTCAATTCCGTGGAGTTTTGATGTACTTTTGATTGCTTTTGCTTTTGATCTTGTATTGTTTTATGTTTTGCCCAGCAATGGTTTATTGTTTACTATGTATATTATTACTTTCACTTTAAATGTTGGAAGTATCACCGCCCCAGCGGTAGACCATGCGCCTTGTAATCTTGTGTACCCCGGTTCGAGTCCTGCTGCGGATAAAACCATCCTTTTTATTTCCCTTTTCTTTCTTCCCTCATATCTTTCTCTCTTTTCTTTTGTATTTTTCTCCCTCTCCCATGTTACCAGACGCGCGTGTGTCCCAGTGGTCAGGATTGTTTGTTGGTTACTAAAGGGAGGTGGGTTCAATTCCCACCTCTTGCACTTTTTTAAATTCATTTATTTTATTTGTTTGTTTTAACTACATAATTTCCCAAAAAAAACAATAATTTTTGCATACTTAATTATTTTTGATCTTTTACTTTTGCCAATTTATTTATAATAATTAATATTTTCACTTAATCAAATGACATGTTAATTTTTCTTTTTTAAAAAAACCCTTGACTTGCTTGAAAGTTGACCCTCTATTAGGGTTCGCGTATGTGGTATCTTATGAACATTTCTCATCTTCTTAAAAATAACTTTTCTTGGCATTGAATTAAAATTAGAGGATTGGGTGTAGTCCCCTTCTTCTTCGAGTGTTGAGGTGCCCACTGTAGTGAGGGTAATCTCGACACTCGTCTTTCAATACAAAGGCGCTTCCAACATTTCCTCATAAAACCTCGGTCTCGTACTGAGTATACTTTCAATAAGAAATTATTTTCTCTTTGTATTGAATTAAAAGAGAGGATTAGGTATAGACCTCTTCCTCTCCGAATGTTGGGATGCCCACTGTAGTGAGGGTGGTCTTGACATTCGTCTTTCAAAACGAAGGCGCGACTTTATCCACCTCTCCCTCTTTAACTTTATTCCGTAACCTTTCTCACCTAAAACCTCGGTCCTGTACCGAGTGCATTTTCAAATCTTTTCGTAACAAAAGCTTGAATGGTCGTGGAGTGGTTAGGCGTAGGCCTTCTCCCATCCCGAGTGCTGACGTTTACCGTAGGGTTCTCTGTCGCAAAGCACTCACCATTCAAAACCTAAATCATCATTAATAAGAGAACGAAGTTCTCTTTGCATTGAATTAAAGAGAGAGGATTGGGTGTAGACCTCTTCTTCTCCGAGCGTTGGGATGCCCACTGTAGTGAGGGTGGTTTCGACACTCGTCTTTCAATACGAAGACGCCTCGTTCACCACACCCTTTTATAACAAAAAACTTCGAGATAAAGAATTGGGTACTACCCGTAGGGGTTACTATCCGAGGACGTGTCTCGCCCCCCTAAAAACGATCCAATCAATCAAACGTGACTTCTTGCCCCGCGCGGCGAAAACTAATCAATCTTTCAAAAAGGATATGTTACGTCCGTTCTACCGCAAACAGGTAATGCCTAAGCCTCCAACGAGCGAGCAGCAAAACACCTAACTGCTAGAATGCGCACGATAATATCATCCATAAAAACATCAACACACCGTAGGCCGAACTACGGCTGCTCTGATTCTTTACTTTTTCAAGTAAAGATACGTAGGCACAAGGGCCACAATCCTTGCCGAGCACATTCCCCCCCCATATTTGTAGTTCCCCGAACTACGTCGACTCTGACTTTCTCATATCTATTGGGAATACGTAGGCATAGGACTGCGAAGTCCTACCGAGTCTGCTCTTTCTATTTTCTTCCCCGTTCTCTCTTTCCTCCTAACTTTCCTGTTTCTGACCCTTATCTTTTACTCTGTGAAACACTTTTATAGCATAACATTTAAGCAAATAAATTCACACATCGACAAACAAAAGGTTCCCATCGAGTACGATGGATGCGAGGGGTGCTAATACCTTCCCCTCGCATAACCGGCTTCCGAACCCGTTCTTGGTTGCGAGACCATCTTATCCATTTATTTCCTAAGGTTTTCTCGATATTTTCCTTTCCCCTCATGGGATAAATAAAGTTCGGTGGCGACTCTTCTGTCTATCCTTTTCGCCTCCCCGTCGTTGCGCGATGCATTTTTCGAGTAGCGACAAGTACTGAAGCTGATCTTGTTTCGAATTTTGGAAGATTTGGTTTTATTAGTGAAAATTCTTTGAAGATTTGATTCCAGTATATTACCGTCTAAGAAGTGTGTGTTTTTAGAAGCTCAAATTTCGCTTTCAGTTGTGCAATATTTCCTAAAAATGGGTGACATATCATTTAAGGAAACATGAGATTTGATTTGATTTGTTTTTGTAGAAGATTTGATTTGGATCTGAACTTTAGGAAATAATATATTATGGATTTGCATTTAATAATATATTATTTTCTAGAATATTATGGATGTTCTATTTAATTTAGCCTGATTTTCTCATCAAGTCAATACTTTTTATGGCTATTTATAAAAATAATCAAAACCTAAAGTGTGGAAAGAGCCATACTTTTGTGAGAGATTTTTAGGGTTTTGTTTGTTCATTGTTGTTTACGAGCCATTCTTGTATCACCTTGATACTAGGGCTGGACTATTTTAGTTGAGTTGTATTTGTGAATCACTCATGAGCTTTTAAGCAAGAGTGAATTCTGTTTATTGGAATGTGTCTCCTTCTTTGATTGTTATCTTGTTACATCACCATTATATGATTGAGAGGAAGTGAGATGGGTCTCATATCTAAGAGAGTCTTGGATAGAAATAGAACGGGTGGTGATTAGGTGCAAAGTTTGTAAAATCAGAGGTTATTTAGAACTTCAAACTAATACTATTATTGTAGATTTCCTTCCTAGCTTGGATGCCCCCAGATGTAGGTGACGTTGCACCGAACTAAGTTAATAATTAATTTGTGTTATTTACTTTCTGTAATTTTTCATTTTTAATTTTGTTGTCACTACGTCTTGACATCGTATTCAACATTTTGGTGTCATGGCATCATATACGACATATGTCTTCTTAGTGCCAGAATTTCAATGTGGCTTTAAATAGTTTTTGGATAGCCATCGTGTAATCTCAAGCCAATTAGGGTTCTAGGTAAAAGTTATAAATAAATCAGGGAAGCCAAGTGCATTGGAGATAGCCATACCATCAAAATAAAGTTGATCCATGTATCTCTTTCTACCTACAAATGAAGAAGGCAACACAACCCCCCTTCTTGTTTTGATTCATTAGTTATGATGACTACCTCTGCATTGTTCACGAAGTTGTTTATATCTTCCAACTCTTAGCTTAGACTGATTATTCCTCAACGAATTAAGATGCTCTGTTTCCATCGTGTAGCCATCAACTAAAAATTGTTGGAAGAGTTTTCTAGAATTGAGCAAAGTTTTAGCTTCATTTTTCCGTTCTTGTAATAAAAAAGATAACCAATCTTTGATGGTTTGGTGATTTTGCTTTGTAAAAACTTTTTCATGTTTATATTTGTGGAGTATATTTGGAATGTAACCATCTTCACCATATGGAAAAATAAAAGGGTATTTATAGACTAAGTAATTTGGATGAAATTCATCTATTCTTTGTAATTGACCATCACGATGCTGAACAATTATGTCTCTCTTTGAACAGTAGGATGGTTATACACGCAACCGTTAGTGGATCTACCAGATATTAGTCTCAACTTCAAATCTTGAAATGCATTATTTTTCAATATGTCCCTTATCATTCTAAAAGCTTTTGCATGACGGTTATTGTCATCTAACATCAACTTCAAATTGGTTATTGTAGCCTTTTCAACTTGTTTATTGTCCCTATGATATAGAATAAAATGACGTGGAAATATAAGTATTGAAATTGAAATAAATGAAGTTCGTAAGAAAAATAGGAATACCTAAAACAATTCATTTTGTTATCAACTTCATTGTTAGTGTCAAAGATATACAACTGAGCATACTTTGGAGGTTGTCCTATCTCAGGAAGCAAACTTCTGGTTCAGTGGCAAGTTTTACCATGTAGTCGTAAAGTAGGTGGACCTCCCCCTTTAGTATTGGTTGTGTCAAATTTCATGTCAGGTGATGTGAATGAAAACATTGCATTGTATGTTCGAATGTTATTTTAGAATTTTTTAGCATCTGAATGGATGTGATCAAACTGAAGTCTTGCTAATATAGGTGGTGGGGTCTTCAACATTGGAAGTACAATTTTTCCTCCCTTGCAATAGAGTTGGAACTTTGGAACAGTTGTATGTCTTGACTTCCCTTTACACTCTTGATGTCACATTGAGGCCTGACAATGTTGGCATTCCCATAGAGGATCTCCAATATCTGAAAATTACGTACTTCAATAAATTGTAAATGCAAAGTAACAACATCATTTTGATGAAATATGTTAGGCATTAATGTGTAATGCAATATGTATTATGGATTTAAATGGGGTAAAAAAATATCCTTGAAGATGAGAACTTCCTAAAGGAAGATAGTTTTCATATTCACATAAGAGTATTATATATATATATATATATATATATATATATATATATATATATATATATATATATATATATATATATATATATATATATATATATATATATATCATAAAAAAAGACGTCACTTATTGTTGCACCCTAAAATTTGACCAACTTGTTTTACCTGATTTGTGTTTTCATAGCTTTATCATTTGCATAGTAGATCATATACATAGTTCATTCATTTGCATAGCATAGCATGGGCAAGTCATCCAACAAGGGATCAAGTGCTATTTTCATCTCAAGGAGTATATCCAAAAGGTTTTTATCAAGATTCAAGCCCATTCAGGTCACCAAGAAAGAAGGTGAAGCTCTGAGAAGTTAATAGATCAAGCAGTGGATTTATAGCCTGTCTGAGGAGTATTTGAAGATCATCATAGAGGCGGTGAGCTATGGACTGAGGTATGAAATGTGTGTAGACATCATGGAAGGCCTAGAGGGTCATTTTGAAAGTAAGACAAGTCATTGGTATGGTTACAAGAACTACAATTGAAGACAGTCAACTAGGGTTTCACCTGGGTCAACCCTAGGTCAACCCCAGGTCTAATACTTGATTGAAAGGCATCAAGGCCTACTTAAAGGATGTGGGATTCATCTTTTGACATGTGGATATAGATGTGGTGTTGTGCCAAGGATAAATCAAAAGAAATCAAGAAGAAGAGAAGTTTCTAAATTAGGGTTTCTGAGTAAAATCTCCTGGTTTAGGTCAAACTTCCAAGCAAAATAATTCAAAATTCAAGTCTCAAATGGATCCTTAGCCAAAGTGAAACTTGTATAGCATCTCAAGACCTTTAATTTGAGTGGTGGAAGGCATCAAGGAGGTTTATAGAACTCAAGTTATGGTTCTTGCAAGTTACAGGTCATCTGAGGACACTGAAATTTATCTGTGAAAGTTACTTGACTTCCAAGCAACTGTTTCCCCACAAGGAGTTTTCAAATGGATTTTTGGTAAACATGAAAGTTGTTCCTCATGATCTTAGCTTTATAGAAAGTTATGGTATGCCTCAATCTGATTTGTGGAGCTCTACTTATGATCTTGACAAGCCAGGGGTATTTTGGGAAAGTAAGATTATAGGTCATTTCAAGCATATGCCTAAAACTCCTACTTGCAAGCTTCAAATGGAAAAATGTTCAACATCAAACTTGATCAAAATGATGTTTTGAGTCTAGGAAAGAGGTCATGATGTCTTGGAAATGCATGGAACTCAAAATGATAAAATTGACCAAATATGGAAGGTAAAAGTCCATTTTCAAGTGACCAAATTTGGGATTTTTTGATCCAAAGCCAAAATACATCATGTGATATACCAAATTGAAGGGAAAACATGTTTTGAGATCATTGACACCATTGGATTTTGAATTTGAGGTCAAGAAATTGGGCTTGTCATGAGTTGCTTACAAAGGAAGTTACACTTGCCAAATCACATAAGGATCAAGGTACAAGGCAAGTAAGCATTCCTACACCTTCTAATTCTCATTAGAGGAGAAATTCAAGCTATTTTGAGATGCTATAACAGAGCAAGATGGGACTGGTTTTTGCATTGGCCATTTCCAACATCTCATGACATGAGATTATCATTTTCTCATAGGATCATTCCAGCACTCTCTAGAAGTTTCTAACATCACCTATATAACCATTAGAGTTGATCAAGATCAAGGTTGGGATTCATTTGGTGCCAAAACTCAGAAATTGAAATTCATCTTCTTCCATTGCAAGTCAATTTCGTTTTCTCAAAATTCTTCACCATTCTTTCAAATTTTTGATTCAATTCAATTCAATAATCATCACTGAGTGTATTGCAATCAAAATCAGAGTGAATCATTGGCTGGATCGTGTTCTTGAAGTTTCATTTCTTCATCTGCAATTGAAATTCTGTTTCATTGATGCAAGCTGTTTGAGCAAGAATTAGTGCATACAGAAGCAAGATATCAAGGCATTGAGTGATTCTGGAGCTTTGCAAGCAGTGGATCGAAGCATTTCATCATCTGTTTTCATCAATTTCACAGGTTAGTAACTTTCTCACCATGGCTTGAATTAGATAGAATCAACATGAATCTTTAGGTTAAAAGCATAGTATGTGGCTAGGTGATGCTTTCTGGAAGGTTTGGCTCGATTTAGTGACAATTTTTAGGTTGACAAGAATTCTGTTTGGACCTAGAACTCGGTGGATATGGAGTTATAGCCTTAGGTTTATAGTTAGAATTGATCAGTATGGAACAAGGGAGAGATTGAGACACTTAATTTGAGGATTGGTGATGATTGATTTTCTGATTAATTTTGGAGATGGAATCGTGTTTGCTGTTAGAGATGATATCAATTGAATTCAAGGCCATAGATGGAATTAGGGTGAAGAATAGAGCATGTTATGGTTTTATTTTATGATTTTTGATCAAGAATTGGTGATGTTTGATTGGCTGCATTCTGAGTATTCTTGGAGGTCCATCAATGGAGTTTTGGCTCCAATTTGATTCAAATGAGGAAGATAACAGCTCAGCCATTAGATGTGCGCTGACTTTTGACCAAAGCATGGATCGGGTGGATGAGATTTATTCTCGGTTTGTGAAGGAATTAAGCTGAGCATGAAACTCAGTCGTTTCATTTAGTTGATGCTGGTGGGCTTAAGTGGATTTTGCTATGCACACCCCTATCTGAGAGGCCCACTAGGAATGAACGCGTATTGACTGCTATTTACACCGTTTTATTTTTTTTCTTTGATTTTCTTTTTCATTTTTTTTCTAATATGTTTGGGCCCAAGGCGCTTTGATACGCGCACCCCCCAGTTGGGCTCAGCTAGTTCTCATGTTTTAATTTCTTGCTATCTGCACCAGTAATTTTCTCTTTTTAAATTCATTTTGTTCATTTTATTTTACAATTTTGAAAAATCATAAAAAATTGAAAAAGAAATATTTTGACCTGAGAATTTTTGCAACATGTTGATAATGGTTTCAAGAAAATTGTGAATAAATAAAAATATTAGTTTAGGTATTTTTTATATTTTTTGTGAATATTTTACATTTAGTTGTTTTTTTATTGAATATAGTTGGTACATAATTTTGTAGATTTTTGTTTAGTTAGCTCCCTTTACATTTTAATGCTGTTCTTTTTAGAGTAATTAGATATAAACTTGAGATCCACCCTGGATTTATTCCATGATTTTATAATTAGGCTTTGATTAGTTTTGATTAGATGATATTAGGATGGTTAGATTAGGGTTTATACACAACATAGGTGCACTTGAACATTTTATTTTTGGGTTTTTAGATTGAATTAGAGTATGGGATCTATGGGGTATATAGGGTAGATATAGTACTTACCTTAGAATTAATATTAGGCTTTTAAATATTATATTACTATTTGTAGTATATTTTACAGTTGTGTGCTTGTTTGGCTTGCCCATTTTTTTGGGTTTATTTTGTTGTGTGGGCTTTTTGGGCATTTGCTTGGGGGTGTGGGATTGGTTTGAAGAGCATGATGGTGGAGCCTAATGAAGACAAGGTTGAAGATCAAAATCAAAGCTTGATGAAGATTGCTTGGCTTGCTTGGAGTTGTTTGAAGACCATAGGACATAGAATATAGGTAGAGCCTTAGAATAGAAATCTTCTTCATAAACATGGATGGTTTCTTTTGCCTCCATTCTTCTCAATGATTAAAAGTCTCTCCTTAATACTCACCTCCCTCCTTTGGAAGGATTAGTGACTGTATCTAGGAGATAGAACTTTGAGAGAAACAGTTTGTATTATGTTAACTTTCTGTAGGCCACCTTTGGTGATCAACAGACTGTTTAACATTCCAAATCCTCTTGTCATCATTTCTCTGTTGGAGAGCTTGCTTTGAAGAAGCCCTTGAAGATTGAGGATAAAGTTCATTGCCTTGAAGACTGATAGAAGAAGGAGCTTGTGCTGTCAGGATTTGCTGTTTAGAGCTGTTGGTGTTGTTTAGAGCTGTTGATATATTGTTTGAGTTTCTTGACTGTATTGTTTGTTAATTTTTCCCTTGAGATTGAGGTGAAGTTGTTTCACTTTGCTCATTGTTTTCTAGGTTCGAGGTTGAGTGGGACTCCCTTGCCTCGCTTGTACTGCTGCATTCATGCATTTTACTGCTTTACTGTATATTTGTTGTTGCTTTTCCGTGTATCCCCTTAGGATCTCTGTTTCTCTCTGCGCAAGAGAGGAATATGATAGACATTAGGTTCTCACCCATGCATGACAACATTAGGGTAGATTTTGATCCCTTTTCAACCATAGATTTTAGAGTTGCTGTTTCTCTTCTTTCTCAAAACAACCAGAAAAATACAATAAAAGGATAAACATCAATAAAAAACAGTTCTTGCGTAAAAGACTAAAAACCAATCAAAGAGTCATTTTTTGTCCGCTTGGA